TGGCGGGACGGATGCGCGGGGCGGCCACGGGCTACCCGGGCCCTTGGCTCCCGTCCGCCGCCACCGCTCCGCTGCTTGCCTCCGAGGGAGGAAGCGCTGCTGCCCGGGTGCCTCGGGAGCGCCCTGGCCGGCCGGGGCCAGGACACCCTCCGGCCGCTGGGGCAAAAGGAAAGCGAGCCGGGCTGGAGCGCAGGGAGGGTTGGCACCTGCAACTCGCAGCACCAAGGCCGAGGAATGGTGGCAACCCGAGGGCCGCACTTGCCCGCTCGCCGCCGGCCCTTCCTCCCTTTGTGGCAGGCGCCTGATGAGCAGCGGGCACCTCCTTCCTAACCCTGGCAGGGCCCTTGTGCGATCCGGCCTGTCGGAAGCTGCTGCTCAGGAACAGGCAGCACAACATCCTCGTCCAGCCCCCGCCATCAGATTCACTTTTCCCGCCTGCCTGCCTGCCTGCCTGCTTACAGAAACAGTAGCAATCGATGAGCCCAAGCACCTCTACCTCCCCTCCCCTCCCTGCTAGAGGCTTCTCTGGGCCGCTGAAGTGAGAAGCAGATGCTCAGCAACCCCTCCACCCCATGGCAAGATGCAACTTGTGCTCCAGTGCAATTTCCGCTGCTTTCTGGAGGCCAGCATGTCCAGCCCCACCCCCTTTGCCAAAGCTTCTCATCAGCCCACCAGTATTAACTTCCATGGAAGCACTTCTGCCTGCCTGGTGAGATGCCGAGCAACCCCTGAGTCCCCTTATTGGATGAAAGGCAGCCTATAAATAAGACAAATAAATAAGCAAACCCTAGGGAGCAAGAAGAAAGGCAAAAGACCTCGCCAAGCAAGGCTGCAGCCTTCAAGACGGCTAGATAGATGGCCGTTCTCATCCAGCCCTTTTCCAAAATGGGGCCAGCCCTCCCCAGGAGTCTGCACTCAGCCTGCCACCTGGGATATGCTGAATGGGCACACAGTACCACCCAGGTCTGAGATCTGAATGCAGCTGTGGTTCCTCTTTCTCTGAAAATAAGCCCATCTTATTTCTCTGGTGGCACACATCCACATGTACGCAGAGCAGGAAAAGTGCCCAGACGTCACCAGGGAGGGCCTGCCTTATAGCTGTTGCAAGACGGTGTGTAAGCTGTCATTCGCTCCTGGAAACAAGGCATCTGTTACTTTCTTCCCGGCCAAGAACAACTGAGCGCACTTTGGGCTGCTCCCCCCCCCCACGGCTTCAGGAAGAATTTGGATGCAATCTTAGGTCAGCTGAGATGCCAAAACAACACTTTGATTGAAGGGTCTCTCACCAAGGTGTTACCCTCCCCCACCAGGAGGAGGAGTGGTTTACTAATCTCTCCCATTTTGCTCAGTGATTACAATGGAACCCATGACCTCAGGAGGTGGTGAGTGCCCCAACACTGGAGGCATTCAAGAGAAAGTTAAGACAGCCATCTGTCCGATAGACTTTAATTTGGATTCCTGCACTGAACTGAAGTTTGGACTTGATGGCCTTATGGGCCCTTTCTATCTCCATTATTTTATGACTCAATGGTTCTCACATTAGCTCGGACACCTGTGTTTCCTCCATGTCACTTCTAGGCTGAAAAGTGTGCCCCCAAATTTCTCCATATGTTTCTGCTTTGCAATAATCTACTGCTATGGGGTGTTCAAGCTCCAGAACATTGGAAGGAATAGTACCACCTATCCATAACTTGTTATTAAGAAAGGATCCTGGCCAGGCAAAGCTATGGTGCTTACAGTACTACAGTGAACTGCCTGGGTTTTGTCTTTGACATTTATACAGGCTCCAGAAAGAAACCAGCTGAAAAAATCTCTTCCAAGGAGAATCCCACTTGGGATTAGAAACAGCCAATTAAAACGTGGTGGGGTTGGGAAGTGCAGAGGGGTTGTTTCGGGGCTCTTGCACAATGTTCAAGCTGCTGCCATCCAGCTCTGCTCGGGCTCAAACATTACCAGTAAAGACTACCACAGTTCAGTCTCAATGCTGAAATTTAATAGTATTAAGACCCCATTATGACACAAAAGGAAGAAAAAAAAAAGACTTTCAGACATTATATCCAATCAGTTTACGTTTGCCTATGATCTCACCGATGTAAAACCACATCAGCACCTCAGTAGCCACCAAGCCATTCCTCAGAGCTTCCTGAAACAAAAGGAACAGAATTCAAAACTTCAGCCATTCTACTAAGACCATTCCTGAAACAAAAAAATCCTTCCAGTAAGTCCCAGGCAACACCCCAGGAGCCTTAAGATGGCAAATCATTTAAGTGTTCCTATGCCACACTCCCAACTGCTCTGTGACATCTATCCACATCCTTCTGCTGGACTGAGAAAAGGTGAACAGTTAAGCAAGGGTTCCAAATTGTGGCCACAGATCTTCCCAATATCCTAGGTGAGTGACAGGTGCTTCTGTGAGAAAAGTACAGCTTGGCACGAAACAACAGCCAGAATGTTTACAAAGGCATGAAGACGCAGGCAGTGCAGCCACTTCCATTGCTTCTGGAAGGGCTGCTTTCCATCCCGGGAAGTGTGTGGATAGATGATTTACAGAAGAACTTCAGGGAACCCCTCGTGCAAGCCAAGCAATGACTGCTGATGGCACCATGCCTCATCCTGGAGATACAGCAGACCAGGCCTTTCACCACACATCTCAGAACGTGGTTTAAAGAGGTATTTATAAGTCTGCTTTTATCACACAGAAGCATCAAGAAATTATTTATTCAATTTATATGCCACGCCATTAGTGCCTGCACTACTGTAGGCAGTTCACATGTTAAAACATAAAAATCAAGAGGGTATTCAGGCTCATGCTAACAGGAGGCCTTTGGGTTGGCTATGCCACAAACTCACTTTTACACACAATCTGACTACCATTCAGAGGCATAAGATACTAAGCATAAACTGTGGTTTTCATTGCTGGCTGTAAAGTTACCTTGACTGTGATCTGTGCCAGGCGTCCACTCTGGAAGCTTTTCACCAATGCTTTTATACTGTCAATAGCCTTGGGAATTTCAGCAGGAGTTGGGGGGACCAACTCAACTCTGGCATAGTACCAGAAATTGGCTAGACGAACCTTTGAGTAAGCGACAGAAGCTGGAAGAAGCAAGAAAAGTGCGTGTTAGAGAGGAAGAAGCAGTATTCCTATGTCACCCTGATTTGTGGTCTCACAATGTCCAAATGTGGGGAGAAACGTGGCAACAGGCAACACTGCACCAGAATATCTATGCCAAAGGGAAAGTCCTTCTCAGTCTTGGAACCAGTCTGGAAATATGACTGTTTAAGGCTGTAGTCCATTCCACGGTGAGGGCTGGCTTGATTAACTGAGATTACAAAACTACCAGCTCCTGTACTCCCAAGTATTGGTGTATCAGACCAAAGAAGTATCTGGCTTTGCCCAAACCTTCCACACAGCTATTTAGGCACCTATACAGCGTATCTTAACTCACAGCATTCAGCTGAGTGCAAAATTAAAAAACAAAATATTGGGGGAGACAGTGGCATTGATATTTAAAGCAAAGCAAAGCTGAGTGTCATTGATGATGATTGCTCCAACATCTTGCTATAGTTAAGGCAATATTTAAAGCTAAAGATGATTAATATACCCATGCTAAAAAGGAGCAAACAAAACCAAAATCAAAACATTTAGTTTAAGGCACAAGAATACAGTTAAGAACCCCTCTTGGGCAGCCACTTTCCAGAGGCAGCCCCAGGTAGAGCCGGGTTCCAGCCATCCAGGCGGGATGCGAACTCGGTGGCCAGGGCAGACTTATTTTCCCGGGGAAGGGGCCCAGCCGGAGCGCTCCTCGGAACCGTGCTCTGGCTTCGCTCCTGCCAGCCTCGTGGATCAGGAGCGAAGGCTCGACGGGAGCCGGGCTGCGGATGGCAGGTTGCGGCCGGCCGCTCCCGCAAGGCTCTGCCTGCCTGCCGGCCGGCCTGAGAACGGGGCTTCCTTGGAGCCGCCGCCGCCGCCGCCCCGCCTCGGAAGCCCAGCGAAGGCAGCAGCCCCAGAGGAGAGCTCGGCCCCATCCCTGCTCACCCCGGAGAGGAACCGCGACCGACCGGCGGCCTCCCTCGGGCGGCTCCCCTCGGCGGTGGGGCCTTCCCCCGGCCAGCCGGCCGCCCTCCCTCCCTCCCTCGCCGGCACACGGCAGGCAGGGCGCGGGGCGGGAGGAGAAGGCGCCGAGCCGGCCTGGGGGCCTCGACGCTCCCGCCACTCACTCACCGGAGACGAGCGGGGGGCCCTTGGTCATCATGGCCTTGGCCATCCTCTGCGCGGCCTGCGCCATCCTCGCGACGGAGAAGGAGCAACGGCGAGAGGGAGAGACCGGCCGAAGCAGCGAAGACCCCTGAAGGTCACCGCCGCCGCCGCTGCCGCCGAGGACCCCGCTGAGGCTGCCCGCCTCGCGCCTGACCACTTGACCCGACCACACAGCCTGACGCCCCACAGGAACCTACCCCCCAACACACACTTTGGGCACCGTCCACACGGCTGTCCTCTTGCTCTTCCTCGAGGTGGAAAGGGAGGTTTAGAGGCGAAGGAGGCAGATTTCTCAGCAGGCATTTAGCATAGTCACCCACTCTATTACCTCTTACGCATGCGCAGTCTCAAAGCAGCGGCAGATCAGGTACAGAATGCGCATGCGCAGAAACACAACTCCTCCCGGAGTTTCCTAGGGAAGGTAGTAACGGACCCTTTGCGCGCTGACCGAACTTCCGCGTTATGTTTGATGCTCTGATTCTCTTTTTGAAGGCGGGGAAGATCCCCCGGTGCGAGACGGACGGCAGCGCCGGAAACGTTACTTTTAGGGACCGCACCTCCCAGAAGCACCGCCGAGCCTTGCTGGCTGAGAGTGTGAGGAGTTGTAGCCCTTCCCCAAGTGACCTTTCCAAGCCCCGCAAACGATGCCGCAGCCCCGGGCGCCCGCCCTTGAAGCCTTCGCCCCCGGAGAGAAGGATCCGGCCCCGGGGCTCCGAAGCACAGGAGAGGCAACACAGGCAGTTTCAGCAGGGAGTGAAGGGGCAAGGATGGGCATGCTGCAGGAAGTGACAGGCCAGGCAGCAACCCCCCCCTTCCCGCCCGCCTGCTGCCTGGCAGCTATTCTGCCTCCCGTGTCTCTCTCCAACCCCCCCCCCCGAAAGAGCGGGTGACTGGTCGGGATGCGCATCAAGAGGACCGACTCGAGAGGCAGGGGAGCCACTGGACGCTTTTATTGATCTAAAGGCAAATTCGCACTCCACACACACTGCATACATAGGGGCATGCAACGAATTGCAGGCAGGGTGTCGAGAGCGCATAAACACGTCCACTGTGCTGTTTGCTGCCTTGGAAGGCCTCCAAGCCACCGTGTGAAGGAGGATGAGCAGAGGCTGACAAGTGGGCTACATTAAGCCCAGGCTCTAGAAGTGGCGGGTGGGGGGAGGCTGCTATGGCACACATCTGCCCCGCCCTCAGGGAGCAGCAGCTTCTACTTAAGGGCTGCTTGTGGGGGCTGCTACCACCGCCACCCAGGCTCCTGGGCAGTCCACATCCTCACCAACGTTGTCAGGATGGCTTTGCATCAAGGCAGGCCTGTCTGCTGGAGGTCCTGCACATTCACTGCAGCAGCAATGACCGCAGAGGGGGACCAATCTGGACAGGGGTTGATTGGGGGGGCACTGCCACTGGGCCAAGACACTGGGCACACCAAAGAGGCCAGGGAGCAGCTACGGACGGTGGCAGGTACCCCAAGGCAAAGAAAAGGTGGAAGAGCGGCCCAGGAGGCCTCTGTCCCAAGTTCCACCGTAGGGGAAAGAGAGAGAAGTGGGGGCAGCCTGGCTCAAGACTGCAGAAGCCCAGCTGGGAGCACTCAGCCTCTTTGGCGGGGCCAAGTCACAAAACTCCTCCCGCCTGCTCCTTCTCTTTCTTCCTCTCTGCCAGCCACTGCTGGATCCTCTCCTTCAGTTCAGTATTTGGTCTGATCTGGTCCATGGTGAGAGGGCTGCGGTTGAAGGGGTCTGTCTGGTCACTGGCAGGAAGAAGCGAAAGGGAAAAAAAGGGTCAGAGGAAACTCTCCTGCCTTTGCTGCCCTAGGCCCAGACCTCTCCATGAGCCAGAGGATCTGCAGCCCCTCCCCCCAGCCACTATCAAAGCAGAGGGACTTCGGAGTTGTCTTCTAAGCATGGGTCTGGAAACCCTGCCAGCCCTCCCTTGGGGCCAGCTGCCCTGCCACGATTACTCTGCAGCAACCAAGGACAGCTGCCCAGTTCAGAGAGACATGCCAACAAGACCCTCAGGAGATCTGGGAGTGGGGCTAGCTAGTGGAGAGAGAGGTCTGGATTTGATAGATTTGCCATCCTTCTACCCCTAAAGCTCCTTCCGAATACCTCAAAAGGTCAAGCTCTAGAGAGGCCATCCTTCTACCCCCAACTCTGTCCTCTAAAGCTCCTTCCGAATACCTCAAAAGGTGCCTGGCAATGGTTGATCGATCCACAGTGACCCGAGAGGAGGGCAGCAGCACTGGGTCCATCATCAGTGTGCTCATAATAGGGTCCAGGAACTCATCGCAGGCATCCGCGTAGGTCTCCTCTTCCTGATGCTGGCGATCAGCGAGGGACTAAGAGAGCAAACCCAGGCATGAGTCAGGGAGTCCTCAAAGAAGTGAGGAGTTGTCAGATGGTAGGGTACAGCCTATCCTCCCTGACATAGCCAGGAAGCAGGACAGGACAGGTGATCCGCTCTGCCATCACCTCCTCACTGCCCCCTTGGTGAAGGGCAGCTTGGGTTCTGAGTAAGGGCCACAAGGGAGACCACCGTTGCCTTTCTCATCCCGGCCATGCCCAAGACAGGAGCAAGGAGCACAAGACCACCTTTTGGGGAGGGGCTGCCGCCCCCACCCCAGTCTGCTTGGCCCTTCAACTCCTCCAGGGGAGGACTTTGGGAGGCTAGAGCCTAAAGCCAGAGATGGCTAACCGCTGCAACAAGCCCTCCCATCGGGACCCGTGACTGCAGATGGGAACAGGGGAACTGAAGGGCAGCCCTCCGCAAACCAGGGTGCCCTGCCTGGGACAGAAGTGGAGAGGGGAAAAGAGAGAGCAAGGTTGGCTTCCCCTGCCTGTGTCTCACCTTGATCCGCTCTGCCAGCTGGCTAAAGGCCACAATCACGTCTCCTGGCTTGTTGATCTTCTTCAGGACGCGGACTGTCTGGGCAAAAAGCGTGGGGGAATAGGACCGTCCATCCTTGGGAACTGTGGCACAGAAGTTTTCCTCATCTCTGGAACAGAGAAGAGGGTCAACAGGCGTGTGGCTGGGAATGGCTGGCAAGCATGGACTCACTCTCTTCATAAGAACGCAAACCCCCATGAACTGTGCCCCCTCTCTCTTTCTTTTGTCTTTCTTTCTTTTTCTCTGACCTCTTCAAGGACGTCTGTGCTCAGGCCAAATCAAGGTATGTCCTATACTGCCTTCTTCACCCCCATGCAGAAGACACTCACCACTCAGAGCACAGAGGGAAACCACCCAATACCAAAAACCTCCACACTCTTCCATGGGGGAGGCATTGTTCGATTTCATCAGCAGTGGCACATGCAAAAGTCTCCTGATGGAGTAACCCCTTCCTGTCCTGATCTCACATAAACCAAGAGAGCAAGAGACAGTGGGAAGGTTAATGACCCATCACCTGCCCAGGGCCCCTGCTCCCACTTTCTGCAGCACTGAGCTAGGGAGCCCCTTGGAACTCCAATGGAGGTGGGCACACATTGTGGCAGGTTCACCTCTTGAGTTTCAAACCCTGGCTGTTTGAAAGCTGCTGGAAGCGGCTTCTCACCAGAAGGCTTCTCCATCACCTGAAGGAACAGCCCACCCCAGGGCACCTCCTCATTCCAAAAAGGATGCACAGCGAGGGCCAGTTTCCCAGCCTCTTCCTTGGGCTAGGACCAGCCCACAATGCCTTTGGATTCATGTACAAAGAGGCGTGGCGTACCCCAGATTCAAATAGATGGTGCAGATGTCAGACACAAGTTGCTGGGGCTTAAAGTCAAACTCGCTGAAGTCCTTGACCTTCAAGGCCCCCATTTTGGGTCCCACCAGGTGTTGCAGGAAGTAGTTGAGCATGGAGATGATGCGCTCAGCCAGGAAGGGATGGACAAAGAGGGACTTGATCTCTGCAAGGGAAAACAGGCCTCCATGAGCCACTGAGCGGCCCCACCCTTGCAGAGCTGGAGAGAATGCCACCCTACCTGAGGTCAGGAAGGCCAGGGTCCCAATGGTCTCGTTGGACATAATGTTGTGGAAGCGAGCCAGCTGCCCAAACATTTGCAGGCTAGCTTCCTTCTCACGCCGTGCCTCTGGGGACAGGTTGTCCCATTCACCCCGGTCCTTCTCAATCTGCTGGATCTTGATCTTGCTCAGGTACTGTGGAGAAATTCATTGAGGATGGGGGAACAAGAGGAGGGCATATGAGTGCATGTGTGACGCAGCATGAGGAATGCTTATTCCGCCCATGCAGAGAGAGGCTCAGTCATTCCTCTTAGGAAAACCACAAGGAGGAGAGAGTCCTGGCGAGGGGCTGGAAAGCAGCAGCAGCCCAGCCAGATCTGGCTTCTAGAGCAAATTCCTTTTCTCTCAGCTTCAGGTGGATACGGGCCTTGTGGTCACAGACTAGCTCGGCTGAGGATCCGCAAGACACCCAGCAGCAGCTATGATCAAATCCCTTTTTTTCTTGCAAAGGAGGGTTGCTTCCTCCACTTCCCATCAGAAAACCCTTTACCTGTATCGCCTCATCCAGCAAGAAAATGGCATCATTCATGAGCAGGTTAAGAAAACGCAAGAAGAGTGGAGGTGTCATGGCTTCCAAGTTCTCTGAGGCGTAGTTTGCCAGGGCCTGCAAAGGTGGAGGGAAGGAGAGTGGGTGGCTGTTTATTCTACAGGCATCAGCATGGCCCTCACCCACAGAATGGGAATATCTCCTGATTAGCCTTACCTTAATGCTTTCTCGATAGGAATCGGTATCCCACATGTACCTAAGGATGGGGTACATAGGCCTGCGGTAGTTGAATTTCTGCTCAAACTGGTGAGGATCCCCTGTGCCAGGAAGGGAAAGCAGTCAAAATAAATGCCAAGAAGGGAAGCTGCCACCTACATGCCAACAGGCTCCTGGGCTTTGAAGCCTTGCTCACAGGGAAGAGGCGAGGACTCCTGTCCCCTTCTGTCTCTTTCAAGGCTGACAGTTCAGTAGCCCTCCGAGGGCAAAGAAAGAAAGAAGCCATTTGTGCCTTACACTGAGGAAGGGTCTCCAAGGCTTGCCAGCATAACTACTGTTCTTCAGAATGCCAGGCCCAGGGGGTGGGGGCTGGGGAGGCAGTTTTGCCAAGAGGAGGTGAACATTGGGCTCTAGCTAGAGTAGCAGTTATCCCAAGAGCCCTTCTACATGCTGGGGACTAAGCTGATCTTACCTGTGAACTCTATGTCTACAAAGACCTTGATCAGTGCTTCAGCAAGAAAAGCTGCATGCTTGTAGGAGCAGAAAACTCTCTTGCGGTGGAAGATGCTCGAGACCAATGGGTTCTGTTCCTGGTCCATATGAGGCATGACAGCCTCCAAAACCTCTGCCAGCTTGGCGCGCAAATGGGGATTCTTCATCCTACGAGGAAGGACAGTCGTTCGGGAAGAGGCTTAAGGACAGCCCTTTGTCATGTCTTCTCCACTTCACTGTTCTAACAGATTTCTGCAGAGCTCCTGCCATAATTCTTATGAAGCTGCAGCTGAGAGAGAGTGCAGAAGCCACTGGAAGCACAAGGACCTGCACTCCAGTCTCTGTGGTTTTTTCTGGCTGCCTTGGCAGACATCAGGTGCTCCCTGTGCCTCTAGAAGTCAGAAGAAATGCCTGAGCTTCCTCTTCTTAAAGTCTCAGTGCACCAAGCATGCCTTCCAAGCTGCAGGGCCAGAGCTAGTCTGCCTCCCCAAAGCACAGGATGCTTGTGGAAGGCTTCATTCTGGCCATCTGACTGCAAAAGCAGCTTCGGGGAAGAAGGACAACTTTGGACATTTTGTTTAACAACTCAGAGATACCGCTGAGCTGGAGATGTTCAACACTAGGTGGGACCAGTTACTGAATCACAACCTGGGCTCCACAACCATCCCTCCTTCCTTCCTTTTCACCAGCCCACCCAAAATATCCCCCGAAGAGGACAAGCAGCTTCTCCTCAACCCTGGAGGCCTTTACCTGTCTACATCCCCCATAAAGACAGTCACAAAATGAAGAACATGCTCCAAAGCGTCGGCTGAAGTCTCCAGCAGGTCATCAGCAAAGCGGCGCAGGAAAATAAAGAAGTCACCCAGGTTGTCAGCAAAAAATTCTGCAAACACAAGTCCCCCCATGAGCAGCTTCCCAGGAGGCTCCTTGGTCTCCCGCCCATCCACCCGCGCAACTGTTGCAGGCCACTGTCAACAGCAGCCACCCTTTTCCTGGCCAAGGGGAGCTGCTCCCATGCTACAAAAGCTCCTCGCAAGCAAGACAGCGCTTGTGAGGCCTCGTCCTTCCTTGGGCTCATGGACAACACACCAGCCCATCCCAAACAACACTTTACCAGGGAGAGAAATGCAAGCAGACATCTGCCCAGTTCCTTCCAGCCACCCTAATGACATGTTTTGGAACTGCTCTAGTGCAAGCCTCCAGAGAGCTGTCATGACAGCAACCACAACCTCTGCCTGTATACATTTACAAACAAGTGTGCCATTTCATCCTGTCCCTGCAGCCTGAATGCCAGAGGGATAACAGCAATGAACTCCTGGCTTGGCCCCTTGTTGGGGGGGGGGGATGCTATTGAACTGGCATGACATGGCCTAAACCCATGAGATTCAGGGGCAAAACCAGTAAGGCTATGTTGCAGTTTTCCAAAGGACCCGCTGGCTTGGAGAAGATCGCCAACTGTGCTAACGTGGCTAACCCTGCAATCCTCTTGGCTGGAAGAACCATGCCAATGCACCTGGGGAAGAATCCCCTCACCCAGAAGCATCCTAGCATGACTTTGGGAAACACCAGTCACCTGGGACGTAGGCCAGGGAACTGTGATTCACTTCTGGCAGAGGGAAGGTCAGCTCTTCCAGCTCGGTGCCTTGGTTCCCAATGGCCAGCTGGACCAGAAGCACTGCCATGGAGACCTGCAGGTGGAGGCAGTTCTGCAGCATCTGTGGCTCCGTCATGGCCGCCTTAGTGGAGAGATAGATGGTCATCAGGCGCTCAAACTGCTCCCGGAGGTTGTCAGCAGAGGGGCTGGAGGTCTGCTGAGCCTCATGCCAGGCCACCTGCAGGCGGTGAAGGCTTTGGTTGAGCTTGATCATCTGGTCGTGCAACCTGGGCAAGCAACAGAAAATGTGGGAGTGGACAAAGGTTGTGGGCACAAGATGGCTGTGGCAGGTGGCCGAGAAAGCAGGGCTGGCCAGTCAGGTGTGGGGGTGCAGGCCCGGGCCAAGCACGGCTGTCCCATGCGAGACTCCCAGCTGTCCATTTGCTGGGCTGCACTGAGCTAAGATGCCCACTCTTCTCACTGAAAAGCAGCTTTGACTGGAGAGCCTGCATGAAGAGGCACTCGGAGGGGATGGCCCTAAACTTCATTCACTCCCACACCATCCCCTCAGCTTTTCCAGTAACTTAGGGGACACCCTTTGTCCTGCCCACGACTGGCTTTGAGAAACTAAACTCATTCACACTTCTGCTCAGCGAGGTTTCACCCCACAGGCGACGCTGCCACCCTACTGATCAGTTGAGCCTGCAAAGACAGTGCCTGCAGCCACCTCAGTTTGCAAAGGTAAACCCTGTAGAAATTAAGAGGACCACACCTTCTGTCTCCCGCAAGGCCCTCGCCACCCATGCTTACAAAGGACTCCCTAGAAGGTGTACCTGTGAAATCCTAAATGGAGAGTGTATTGCGTCAGCACTAAGTTCTCCGTCACCAGGTTGTAGCTAGGAGCAAATTCCGGCTCCTGCTCGGGCATGGCTGGGATCAAGCAGGTCTCTTTCTCTAAACCTGAAAGAAGTTAAAGCAAATGCTTCCCTACCTGCTCTGCCAGCCCAAGCCTACCAGAGGAATGTCACAGGGAGGGGGAGGGAGCTCCCTTTCTCTCCACTCCTCCGCTTCCTTCCTGGGCTGGCGATTCCCCCCCTCACCTGCTTGCTGCCACTCACCCTTGATATGGACATTTCTGCACTTCTGCTCTTCCTCATTCAGCTCTTTCAAAGCACAGTAGGTGGGGTCAAAGGTGAGGAGCCGGGGGGAACGGGGCTTACAGAAGGGCTGGCAGAGCCGGAGGAGGGCAGCCCCCAAGTTCAGGAAAAAGGCATCTGAGGCATACATCTGGAAGAAGATCTCGGGCATCTGGTTGGCCCAGATCTTGGTGCGGCCCGCGTTGGCATGGAGACAGTTCCCAAGCCAGGACAAGATCCGGTGTTTGGTTTGTGGAGACAACTGCAGCAGGTTCTTCAGCATCTGGTAGATCTTCTCATGGAACTGGGCCATGAACTATGACCAAGACAAGGCAAGTCTTACCATCTGCAAGAATACATGCTCACACGTGCTCCATCAGCTGAATCTAGGATCCCCCACCAAGGAGCAATGGCCCCCCCTCCCCCCCTTGCGTTTTCTCCCACTACCAGAGTCTCTGGGTCCGATTCTTGCCTTCAGTATTAAAGTGATTGCCCAGGCAGCTCTCCATCATGTAAAACACCAGCAATGAGTTCAGGGGGAATGACCACAGACCTGTCTGGCCAAACTGCAGGGGGAAATATATCTTTAAAAGGAAACAGCTGCCAGGAGTTACCATTGGACAGTGCTTGGCTCAGCAATGGAAGAAAGGACTGAGTGGTGCATAAGTACCTGGTGGATGTTGGATTCCTGCACCTTGATCTCCTGAGGGCTGGACCGAGAGGGATTCAGAAAGTAGCCATGGTTCTCCACCACCCCTGGGGTCTTCAGCAAGCATGAGATGCTGAGAATAGCTCCCAGCAGAGTCTTCTGATAGAGCTGCCCATTGGCAGGGTCCTTTGGCTGGATGTACTCAACAAAGACCTAAACAAACAGAAGCAGAAGCTGCTGATGCCCCCCAGATGGCTCAGGAAAAGTACCCCAGCAGACACAAAAAATAACAACTGAAGTCCCTTCCACATAACTATGGCTCTGTTGCAGAAGCCAGCCTTTATTCAAAACACATGGGACCACAGTCCAAGTCCAGGAAGAAGACTCCTTTTGCTGCAGCCACCCCCACCCCCTTTTGGGTAGTCAGATAAAAACGTTGTGCTGGGAATAAGGGACGGGCTAAAGGAGGAGGCTTAAGGAGCAAAGACTGTTCATCTGGTTGACACCTGCAGAAAGGAGGAGCAGCAACTCACTGTGGCTATATCTTTCTGCCGGGTGAAGTACAGGAGCATGTCCAGGTAGGAGTACAGCAGGATCTGGCAAAGGTGCAGCTCTCGGATCCGTCCCAAGAGGATGTCAAAAACAGGCAGCATGACCTCTTCAAAGGTCCGCACTTCCTCATCTGCAGTGATGACCTCAATGACCTCCTCCAGGAACTCTGTCACCTCTTCAAAGTCTAAGGGAGAAAGAGGATTTTTAGAAGGGGGGCTTTGAAAGACCTGCAGCAGGCAACACTCAAGGGATGCTTGGCTCTGCCTTTGCCACCTACGTGCTCCTCTCAGGGACTCCAGCATCAAGTCCACAAGCTGCTCATAGACATTCTGGTTGACATAAATTTCTGGCGTGAGGAAGACCGTGCGGGTGTTAGACACTGTCAGATTCCGGCAGCACACGGCAAAAGGCAATAGATTCTCTGGCACTTTGGTGATCTGAAAATACAGAGGAGATTGCTTGGTCTCCAGACTGTACTGGACAGGCCAGCTTGCTGGCTGGCTGGGAAACAGGATCTGGGCCTACCTCCTCCTTGGCCCTCTGGAAGCAAGCAAAGAGGTAGCGAAGAATGTGCTTCTCGCCTGCATCTCTTTCAGCTGAGAGATTCTGGATGCTAGCTGAGGTCATATGGATCAGGTGATTTCCAGGTTCTGGGAGCAGCAGTCGGGTGAAAAGTGCCTAGAGAGATTAAAGAGAACCCCGGGGATAAATGCCAAGCACACTAACCTCCCATCTTCGAAGGAAGTGCCCAGTAGTGCATTTTTCCAAATAGTATATTCCCTCCAAGGAGTCCCATAAAGTCTTGCCTATCAACCACTGTGGCTAAGGCCAGATCCTTCACACTCCATACCACCACTGCACAGCTACAGTGGGCTGCAAAGGGAAGGCTGGCAGGACTCAAATTGCTGATGTTCAAGGAGATTGCCTGATTCAAGGGGAAACCAACTAAAGCAGAGTACAGTAAGTGGCTTCAGAAAGTGAGTCACGCAACCTCGGGGGGGGGGAGAGAAGGAGGGAGGGAGAGCTAGCCCAGGGGCAAATTACTTCCTGACCACAAGCAGAGAGCAGCTTGAGCTGAACCACAAAAGCAGCCTCCTCACAAATGTTCTGTTGGGTCTCTGTAAGCATGGGCAGATACCTGTTCCACGTTCTCCATGTCCAGCCAGTCCTGGTCCTCCAGATCTGCTGCCATCTCTTCCAAGTACACACAGCGGGCAGGAATCCCATTGCCACTTTTCAGACTGGGGTCACCTGCAGGTCAGGAAACATCAAATCAAGACTGCCAATGACATCTCATTCTCAATATTCTGTCCTATAAACACCGTCCCTAATTCTTGAAGGAAACGTAATCCCCACCCTGCCCTCATGCTTACGGCTCTCCAGAATTATCCACCATTACATTTCATGATACTCCAAAATAATCAGCATCTTCAGAAAACAGAGACAACTAAGTACACAGGAATAGGAAGGGAACAGCAAAGCTTAGCATAATACCAACACACCACATCCCTGAAGCTGTATAGATATAATAAAATAAGGAAGGAAAACCCCAGAGTTTGTGAATGATTTATATCTCCTGTGTAAAAGAACCTGGGCTTTATGGGGCTTCCTGTTCCCAGTCACTCTGCTCCATCTGCAGCCAGTCAGGACAAGAGAAGGCAGCAGCAGCACCATGATAGGAAGTAGCATTCTCTGCCAGTGTATGTAAGTCATCAAGATGTTTTGGCATCAGGTTAGCAGCAAAGTTCTCGACACCCCCAATAGACTAGCCCACCCACATAAAAACAAGAACCACCTGGGGCCTTCCCACTGAAACCATGCCCTGAAGAATGTCCCCAACTCTACACAGCTGTTAGAGACAGGAGTCATTTAACAAGCTAATGGGTGGATCAGACAAAAGCAGGCGAGGCAGCAAAAAGAAGTCCAGCTGTTCCCTCTTCCTCCTGAAGCTGATGCAGAACAGCAAGGAGAATCACCAATGTGGTTCACAGCTTCACAACTCCATTACCCATCACAGAGGATGTGAAGGAGAACCAACTCCCCAAACGTACTGTTGTCGAGAGTGATCAGGAAGATTCTCTGGATCATGTGGTTGATGTTGAGCTGCTCACAGAGCTCCTGCTGTGAGCGGAAGGAGCGGCTGATTTCAGCCACCGAGTAGTCACAGTCGTCCAGGCTCTCAGACACGCTGTTATCCGAATCATCTTGGCTGGCTGAGGTCTCCTCCACTGGAACAACAGCAGGTAAATGATTAGCTCCACCTGACCCAGCTCTCCTTATCTCCCTCTCTGCCTCTACCTACGGATCAAGAAGCAGAAAGAGGTGGGGAGGAGCCACTGCCCCATAGCAGCTGACCACTCCTGTGAACCTGCCTGCCAACCTGCCAACCAACCACCTCCCCCACACACACACACAGAGCGCTAGGTGTTTTTAGCCCCTTGCCACCTTCTCATTCCTAACCCTACCCTTTCCTAAGTGGATTTTGTTGTTCCAGAGACTTGCAAAGATTGGCTCTTTGGGGAGAAGCACAGGAAGAGAAGACCCTGGAATTAACCGAGTAAGAAGTATCTGGTAGTTTTCAGATAATGGGGTGGGCTTCTAGGAACTGATCTTAAACCCCCCACACACAGAGAGAAAGAGAATTATAAGACTAAAATCTGGTCTCCTTCTTGCTATGTCTACTGATGGGCGTCCCGGAACCTCACCCTATCTAAATACCACTTCACTGGGGCTGTGTGTGTGTGTGCGCGCGCGCGGGGGGGGGATTGTTTCCTACCTAACGCTAACCCTACAGCCCAAGGCAAAGCGCCCACCCCCACCCCGAGCTCCTGCCCTCACCAGCGGGCTGGGCCTGTGGCTGCTGCGGCGGCGGCTGCTTCTGGAGGTCGGCGAAGTGCTTGGCGTCGGCGACTGAGCCGAAGAGGGCGGCGAAGGGGTTCCTGGAGATGCTGCTCCGGTTGTTGTTCTCCTGGTCGGTCATTTCCCCGCCAAGCCAGCGAGCTCCATGGGGGGCTGGGAACCAAGGCGAGCGCGGAGCCTCCCGGGCCCAAGCCGAGCGGCGGAGGGAAGCGAAGGCGCGGCCGAGGCGGGCCCACCAAGGGATCCGGAGCCCGAGGCCCGCGGGCGTCCCGGGGCGGCTCCGGTGGGGAAGGCCCCGCCGGGCAGAAGGCGGCAAGGGCGGGCGAGCAGGACGGGTCCCTCGCGGCCCCGCCGAGCACGGTAATCGGCTTCTTCGCCGCCGTCCGTCCGTCCGTCCCGTTCTCCGCGGCCCGTAGGCAGCTGCGGGGTCGCCACTTCCCAGGCAGTCAACCTAGCAACGCGTGACGCCAGCAGGCCGCGCCGCATTGTGCGTCATCCATTAGGGACGGAAGTGGAGGGCCCGCCAGCGGAAGCTAGGGCGGCGATGGGCTCCCAGAGATATTCAAATAAAGAGAGCCACCCCTGGGTCTCAGTGGGGCGCTTCCTGGTTCCAGTCGGGCAGCCTTTTTTTATGTGCGCCCCCCCCCTCGCCTCTGTCGTGGCAGGAGCGCGGGTGGTGCCAGTCCTTGGATCGGGGCTCGCAGGTCTTGACCCTCTGGATTTCAAATCTCCTGTCAGTATGGGCCGCGGTGAAGGATTATGGGAGTTATAGTCCGACAGCAGGACAGCGAATGGCTGGACTTTATTTGGAGCCGGGTTCATAGGCATCCTTCAGTCTCGAGAGACTATGGTAGCGTGCTCCGTATGGAGGACTTCGAGGCCGTATGCGGAGCTGGAGTGTCCTCTCCAGAGCATGACGCCTGGGTAAAGTAGTAGGGAGGATAGGCTGTTACCCAAGCCGCAGATCCCCCCTCTCCACATTGCTGCAATGGTCCAATGGAAAGGCAAGAGCCAATACGACTGGTTCCAGCGACGTCGCAGGAGTTGCCAGAACGACACGAACTGCCTTCGGAACTCCAGCTCCGGATTTTGCCTCTAGGTTGACTCCTGAAGCCTTTTCCGTTAGTGGATAGAGCCACAAGGCAGGGGAGGCTTGAAGTCAGAGTTTTCCTCCTCCTAGATGGGCTGCCTTCCCAGGCTAATGAGTCCCACCTACCCGGGCAGCTGAGAGGAGATATTTCTGAGTGATCTGAATTGCAGAAGCCTCTGTAAGGTCCTTGAAATCTTGGGCTGTTTTAATGGGCAAGAGTCCTGCCCACTCACAGAGGGCCACGTTGAAGGCAGACTCTTCTTTGGCACCAAAGCAGGCTCTCCATGGCCAGACAGTGATCCGAATCCCAGGGTGAGCCTCCGAATGAATGGGCCCTTCAGGTCTAGCACCCCGGGTTATGAAGAGGTTGTGTGCAATCTCCTTCTTTACCTTCTTTACTAGACTAGCACCGATGGTGACCTGAACAACATGGTGGGTGAGCTTCTCTAAGAGGAAGAAGAAACCAGGAGCCGGGGCCTCCTGCAGCCGATACAGGCTTGCCTCAGGGAGCAGGGGCACACAGGGCAGTTTCCACCAGCAGCTCCCAATTCATGTAGAAACAGGGATGGGCGCTGAGGAGGACATGCAAGCCAAAGCGGAGGGCCTCAGGTGTGAGGAACTGGGGCAAGGAGAGGGCAGGACTGGGAACGAGAAGGATGTGTCCAAATTCCAGAGGACTGACATTAATCACTACCAAGATACAAGCAGGGCCAGCTGGAGATTGAGTCCTTCCCAGGCAGGGAGGGCCGCCCTTGCTCAGGTAGAAAAGCACCTCCATGGGCTGGATCTTGTTGAAATTGAACTGCTGGGGGTCAAATGGCTGCTGGAGGCTGTGGATCTCCTCGGGTCGCCTCCTCTCGACCCCTCTTTGGATGTTCAGCTGGGCCACAAACCCCACCGTCCCTGGCAGGATCCAGGTCTGCAGGTCTCCCAAGGGATAGCGGAAAAGTCCCCTCTTCATCTTGTCCTCCCAGCCCGACTGCAGAACTCTCTCAAAAGGTGAGAGCTGGCGGCTGGCCGGCCACTCCACTCCCTGCAGCGCAAAATCCTCCTCCTCATAAGCAAAGACTTATGGAGCTAGCTATCCTTAACTTATAAGGTCGCTGACAGCCGAAACTAGCAGGTGGAGGGCCCAGGGCAAGAACAAATTATTTATTTTTTTAAAAAAATTACCCCACCTTTCTCCTCGAAAAGGACCCAAGGCAGTTTACAACAGTGAGAGACAATATTTAAAGTTGAAAACCGTTATACAATGGTGGTTACATCATTAAATATCTAAAAGTAAGAACTACAAGTATGCAATTGAAAAAGGAAAAACCACTGCCACTGTGAGAAATGGGAAACAAAAGGCAGAAAGGTCTGCAGGGCCAAAGGATGAGAAGGAAAGACTTGACTTTGGAAAGAGATACTGTAGTTGTTATAATGGTTACAGTAGCAAGATTAGTCTTTGCAAAGAATTGGAAAAGTGACAAACAACTTAATCTTGAAGACTGGTAGAAAGAAATGTGAAGTATGCCAGCAGAAGAATCAATGGGATGGGGTGTCCTGGAACTTGATGGCCGTGGCTTGAAATTCCCGGAGCGCTCACTCTGAAGTCTACATGAGGCAGCAAAAAGGGGCTCATGGATCAATAAGTGACTTTAAAATATTTACAATATCCTTGAGGCAACAGGAATGGACTATAAAAGTAGTTTGTTTTTCTGAAGAACAAAAACAACAAGTGGCAGCTGGTGTGGGAGGAGGAAGAGCTAACCCCCTCAGTGGGGATTCCTGCGGGAGGGGAGATTCCCACCATGGCTAGCCAAATCTGGTTGCTTCTCCCACCTAATTGAATCCCAAACGATCGAGCAAGGCGCTGATTCTGGGCAGACTTAGAAGCTGAACCTGCCATAGTGGTGCCACTTTTGTGCCTGGATGTCAGTCAAATCACGGGTTTTTTTCCTTCCTCCTTGCAGCAGAATCACAGCAGGCATCACTACCTGGCAGTGTTACATGCTGTCAAGTCGCCTCCGCTTAGGGTGACTGCATGAACGAGGGATATCCAAAGGGTTGTGTCCTCAGCAGCCCGCTTCAGCTCTTGCAAACTCAGTCCATCTCTTATATGGTCTTCCTCTTTTTCCTGCTGCTTTCAACCTTTCCTAATATTATTGTCTTTCCCAGAGAACCCTGCCTTCTCATGATGTAGCCAAAGTAGGGCAGGCTCAGATTCAACATGTTTGCCGACAGAGATTGATTTGATCTAGGACCCACTTATTTGTCTTTCTGCCAATCCAGCAAAGCTCTCCTCCAGCACCATATTTCAAATGAACAAATCCTTTTTTTTCCTGTTCACACCCACACATAGCGATCAGGATGACAAGTTCCATAAATTTTCAATACTTCCGATCCCACCTGTGAAGAAAATGGTGGATTTTAGAGACGTGTTCTAAAAAAACATAAATGGAGTGAAAGATCCCATCCACCCTCCCCCCAAAATCAGACGGCACTAAAGGGAATAAAGCACGAAACAAGTCCTTGGGAAACGGCATCCCTCGGCCTGAATCCCTCCTCTGTTCTGGGACGGTGGCTTTTCCTCCCATGAGCCGCTGGAGGTGGTTCAGCTCAATTTCTCAGAAGAAAAAGCTCTTCTGTGGCATTTCTGACATCTTCTCGTGCATTCACGCCTCTACACAAGCAAGGGAGAGTCCCTCACCCCCACCCCCGGGCTTCCTGTGACTGGCTGACTTCGGAGAACCTTCATGCTGGTTTGGTGCCCAGGTGCAGCCGAGGCAGGCAGCAAAAGTTTGATTTGGATCATTTTTTTTTTGCAAACTGGGCAACTTCGCATCAAAGAGTGGGGGGAATAACTAAGATAACGACATCTGTGGCTCTCTGAAGAAAGGCCAGCATGGGAAGCAGCCTCCACCTCCTCCATGCCACGCTCCTCGGCTTGCTCTTCACAGGTAAGGGGGCTCGGCCCAAAGGTCAGCTGCAGAATGGGCAGCAGCAGGACGCAACCCGATTCAAGGCCCGGCCTCAGAATACAAAGGAAAAGAAAAAGCGGGGGCCTTCTTGGGGAGGGGACTCCTCGACATTGAAATAGGCGTTGCCAGGGTGTTCTTTTCCACTTGATATTTGCCCACAGTGGTCTTTTGGACTGCTTCCGAGTGTCAGCACATCTCAAGAGCCGCCCTTCTGTTTGGAAGGGGGGGGGTTGTTTGCTTGGGTTCAAGCGAGAGTGAAGGTGCCCTCACATCTTGCACCCCAGTGGCTCGGGTGGGAAGGCCTGAGCCCGCAACTGTCTCTTCCGGAGTTCTTGCAGTCCCCGTTGTGCTTAGCCTCCATCTTCCATCTTCCATCCCAAAGACATCAGCCTTCACTGGGTGGGGGGTGGGTGGGGGGGTGGATGCCCCCTGTCAGAGAGCTCATCCTTGCCTGGTGGGAGCAACATTTTTTCCTTTTGGCTTCCAGGTGTTGCCTGGAGGGAACCACAAAGACTAATAGCCGTCCTTGAGTGGTCTCATCACCTCCTCCTGCTTTCCTCCAGTCCCCTTTTAACATCCGCAGCGAGAATGGCCAGCCCCACCACCTCATGTGGCAGGTGGTTCCACATATTAACTCTGTGGTGCAGGGAAATGTCCCCTTCAGTCTGTCCTGAATCTCCTGCCACCCACCTCCACTGAATGATGCCTGCAGTTCCAGGTTATGAGGACTCCACTCTGTCCTCTTTCCCTCATTTCATCCCCTTTCGCACGATCCTTAGTCGTTGTCTTCTAAACAAAAAAAGTCACATCTTGATTAGCCTTGCTTTGTCAGGGAAGTTGTGGTTCCAGGATGTTCCTCTCCAGATGGGGCCATCACCATGGGGCCAAAGGCAAAGCCACGCCACCGCAACTTGCTGTTTGGTCACCCCTGGCAGGCTCTTTGCCTTCGCTGTTCCAGTTTCCTGCGAGGTCTGGAGCGGACGCCGTTCCTTGTTGTTTGTCGTTTGGCAAGGTGGAGGAGCCAGGCTTTCTGATGTAGGGTGTCCGCGTCTACCTTTGTGGCCTGGTTGGTGCTCTTAGATCCTGTGGATCTCACCAAGCGCTCACTAGGATGCAAGCCCGCTTCTTCTCCTCCCTTGCTAGCCTTCAGCGGGGGTGGCCACTGGCCTGCTTTGAGGGGAAAGAAGTTTGCAAGACTGCCAGAGGGAACCCTCCTTCCGAAGGTGGCCTCCATTTTAAGACCCACCCAGCGGAGGCTTAATTTAAAAGCAACCCCCTTCAGAAAGATTAAAGAAGGAAAGCCAAGGACTTCGATGTTGCCCATCCACAGGTAGCTGCACCTGAAAAGCAGCCTCAGTGGTCACTCTCTGCCCCCCCCTCAGGTGAGACGCCTTGTAGTTTTGTTCAGATTATATTGAAAAAGCCACTGCTCCTTTTGCATCTGAATATCGACATTAGCAGATGAAATCGGAGGAAGAACAGTGTCCTCTTCTGCTTGGCCCCTGCGTCTCAAGCTGTGATCCTCTCTCTTCCTCTCAGGTGTTGTCATCTCTGAAAACACTGGACCACAACCAAGTAAGTTGTATCCTGCTTTTCGTGGCGGTGGAGGGCCACGCTTCTTGCCGTGGCCCAGGTGGCTCTCGCAGGTGCTCTGCAGCCTGGTCAGCAAGCGCCTGGGCAGTTGACCGCCAGCCAAGACCTGGCCTTTCTGCACCCGGAGACTCACCAGCTGTGGGATAGGAAGGGAGCCAGAGGAACGGCAGCCCCCCCCTTCATGTGCCTGCTTCCCTAGCATCGCAGAACGTTTGCTAGGGTGGGGCTGGCATCCCGCCCCCCCGAGTCAGTGCAGGAAGAGCCCTGACGGTCACCCTGCATTGATGTTAAACAAGGGGGCAGCCTCCATGGGGGAGACACTGGACCCACAATGACTCAGAGCCCAAGTCTGGGGGTGGGGTGGCTGCTGGCCGCTGGTTCCCAGGGAGAAAGAAGCCTCTTTTCCTCCCACCCGCCACATAAGGTCTCCTCGGCCGCCCCCAGTTCCATCCGTGCCTCTCAGAGGAGGGGTCCTCCTGACCTCAGGTGCCTCCGCTGGAAAGGGGTTCTCGGGGGGGGGGCAGTTGCTTCTCTCTTTGCTTCTCACCCCAGCCCTCTGCACCTTTTTTGTTTTGCTTTTGGTTTTGTTCTGTTTTGCAGATGTAACCATCCAGTTGGTTTCAAAGCAGAAGGAGAGAACGGTCAGCCTGCGGTGTCAAGGAAGGGATGTGGCTACCTGGTTAAAAGACGGGGTTGACCTACAGCAGGGGGGTCAGGAACTGCTCTTGGGCTCCCCCTTGGATGACCCACGAGGGGTCTACTCCTGCCGCACAAGCCCACGGAATGAAGAGGCCTCCTTGCAGGTGTATTTCCGAAGTGCGTGAGCCGTCCTCCACCTTTGCCTCCTGCTTGGGGCCATTTCTCCCCTTTTTAGCTTTGGGTGTGTGCGGCAGGGGAGGGGGGAGTTGCTGGGAGGAGTTCCTCCTGGGAAGGGGCTTTGAGGTGGGACGAGGCCAAGGGAGAGCGGTGGTTCATGGCCATCACAGGAAGGTGAGAGAGACGAGCTTTCAGGGAGAACTGGGGTGGGGTGGGGGAACGGGACCTTCTCTCCGGCAATCTGAGCGCATTTGAGCATTGTGGCCTCTGTTTAGCTGGTCTTGGTGAAATCTTCAAGGTTTCCCTTCCTCCTAAATGGGTGAAATGAAGCAGTATTTATCACCCACTGTTGTTCGTGATTGCTTAGATATTCTCCAGTGCCCGATTCTTCTGCATGTTAAAATCATAACTGCATGCCTTCAAGTTGCCTCTGGCTCGTGGCGACCCTCTCCAGGGTTTTCTAGGCAGGGAGGGCCCTGAAGCAAGTGGCCGTGCTCTTCTTCTCGGGCTGCCCTGCGACTCCTCCACGGCTGGCTGCCAAATCCTGAATGTCACCTGACCTCTCTGGTGCCCCCCCCCCCAAGTGGCAATGCAGATTCAGAGGCCAAACCCAGAGAAGTCGTTGGGGGAGCACGCCGTCTCTGCTCGTCTTCTGAGCCTCTCTCTGCTGCAAGCGTATTCTTTCCCAGGGAAGGGGGTGATGTCTTTTGGGTTGTTGCCTGTGCTGGAGGCTGAGTGGGGGTTGTCCCTCGCGGAGAGGGTGTCAGAGAGCCATCATCAGCAGTGCCTTAGATGGCACTCCTGAAGCAGGTGGTTGGGATGGCGTGGGGCTGTCAGCCTCGTCCTCTGGCCTGGAAGGTCCCATCCCTAGCCCCTCCATGGGAAGGGAGAAGCAGAGGCACCCTTTCTTCAAAGGCAGCCCCGTGAGGGCCAGAGGGGTAAGGCTTGCTGGTTATGCCCCGGCGGGGCCAGGATGCTTAGCCAGACTTTCTCTTGCCACAGTGTGCCAGAACTGTATCCAGCTGGACTTGCCCACAGTCCTGGGGCTTCTGTTGGCCAGCAGCGTGAGCACAGTGTTCCTGGCAGTGGCAGTGTACTGCCTTGTCACAGGGGAGCCAGGCTGGCAGCCTCAAGGTAAGAAGCAGGCGTGGAGGGCTGGCCTTTGCTACAAGGATGGGGGGGGGGCGCAGGGGACAGCGGGAGAGATTTTCATCAAACAGGAGCCGTCCACCTCTGCGTGCTGTGTGGGCGGCAGGGAAAAGAAGGGCTGTAGTGACGGTGGGAGGGGGGAAGGGCTGGGATCACCCAGAGGACACCTGCCCCCTTACTGGGCCTCCTGCCTACCTGGCTTTCCTTGGGCTCACCTGCCACTCCGCCCGATTCCCAGCATCTCAGGTTTCCTCTTTTGCCTTTCCAGCCTCGGATAAACAGACCCTCCTGGCCAACGAGCAGCTCTACCAGGTGGGTTCCTGGCTCCTTATTTGGCCAGCCTTCCTCTCCTCTTCCTCCTTGTGCCTGCAGTGCCTGCTGTGGCAAACGTCCAAAGTTAAGAAAGGGGGGGGGAAGGGTGAGGCCGGGGCAGCCCATCCTGGAAGGCTCCGCAAGGCCCCAGCTGTGTGGTCAGTGGCCTTTGGTCATGACTTGTGGGTCACGTTAGCACAAAGTCTTTTGCATGTCTGGGCAGTGCCAGGCGCAGTGGCTTGGCTCACCTTGGTCACTAAGGAATGTGCCAAAGCCCAGCTGGGGGTGGCTGCCACTAGTTGTGGTGATGTCGCCCACCTTAGAGGGCTTTGAGGAAGGAATAGGTGGCATTTTAGGGGAGTCCAGGGAATGGTAGCCGCTGCCCACATGTGGTGCCTGTCCTGGAGGTGCCACACAGGAGTAGGACCAAGGTGGTGGGAGAAGAAGCCCGTTTGCTTCCACATTGCATGGAACAAATTAACTTGCTTTGCCTTTGGGGTTAGCAAACACGGGCCTCATTTCCAAGTCTGGTCCCTCAGGCTTGGAACAGGGAAGGAAAGGTGTCCCTGGAGGGAAGACATGTCGTTGGCTTCTAACTGCAAAGCTGCCAGGTCCTATGATGCCCTTGCAATCATCTACCCCGGGAAAATTGTGTTGCAGCTCATCTCTTCCCCTTCCCCTTTATTTGAGTTCGGTCAAAGGAGACACTGGCAATACACAGATATGCCTCAGATTAGGAGACAATTCTCACCCCTTAAAAGAGAAGGAAGAGGTGAAAGTTATGCCAGGCCAAGCAACAGGCAGGGACTCGGCCTCTGCGGGCATTTGCCATTCCAGGCCGACAGAGCTGAGAAAGCAGCTTCCGTACGCTACTCTCAGCAAGCAGAACATGGGGAAGGGAAGGGGCAGGCTGGGCCGTGCCTGCCTGGGCCTCCACATGCCGCAGGCTTGGCTTCCTGCTTTTGTTCCATGACAGCAGGTGAATAAAGTGGGGGCTGACCATCACCATACAGGTTTCTCCTCTCTTCCAGCCTCTTGGAGAGCGCAACAACGGACAATACAGCCACATAGGGGTGGCCAACATGCGCCGTCGTTGAGTGGAGTGTCGGGGACCCTTTTCTGCCGCTGCCCTTCCCTCTGCCCTGCCTTCATTCCTTGGATCCCTGCCTGATGATTGTCCCTCCTGCTCTGGGGACTCAGCGTTCTAGCAGGAAAGGTGCTGCTTCCCACGGCAGAAAGCTGGGATCTGGCTGGGGATTCCTGCCTTGAGCGACACCTCTGCCTTGCCTTGCATGAAAGGGCGAGAGGCCATCCGCTGCCCTGCTCAGGATCTGAAGCACCCTGAATGCTGAGAAAGTCAACTGCAAGAGTTTACCAGGGGTCTCGCCCCTGTATCCCTTCTCTCTTCCTCAATAAAAGTGTTGCTTTAAAGTCTTAAAAGTTGCCCTCTTACATGGTGTGTGCGCCTAGAAGGATGTTGCATTGCAAGGGTGGCAGTGAGACCTAAGGGCTTCAGCGACAGGAAGTCAGTGGTTGTGCACTGGGCACTCATTCAGGGAGCTGCATGGTGGGGGGGAGGCTGTTTGTGCGCAGCTGTGGGTGTTGTTTGTGTTGTTCTTGACGTGCAGCTGCACTTGTTCTCTGACCACATCCTGTGGAAGGAGCACAGCAGCTGAAGCGGGGTGCTGGTGCTTACGTGGGACCACTGTTCTTCCTTTCAGCCACGGCTGCCACTTCCTGTGCTGATCTGGCTCTTTGGAGGGCTGATGGATCAGCTCTTGGCCTAGTCTCTGCACAAACAAGACCAGCTAGCGACACCCATCAATCACAGTGACAGATAATCTCTCCCCCCTTATCACAACAAAAACATGCTGATCTGTGGGAAGTTTTTAGTGGAAAGTATCTTAGTCTAAAGATGGACCTTTAGACTAAGATACTTTCCACTAAAAACTTCCCACACTGATCACCCTATCTCCTGAAAAGGACAAAAGCTGTTCCCACAACTATAAATACTCAACTATCCAACAAACAGCAACAGAGCATGGACAGAGTTCCTACTCCAGTCCTCTGAAGATGCCGGCCACAGAGACTGGCGAAACATCAGGAAGAACAACCTTCAGAACATGGCCAAAGAGCCCGAAAAAACCACCAGAACAATCTGTGAAAGTTTATGCCGATCCAGTTTTGTGGTCCTGAAAGCACCACAAGACTCAGCATTGTGAAGACCGCTGGGGCCTTTGCCTCCTCCGCCCACATACTGAGGAAGAAAAAAGTCTGGGGCAGAGACCACGCGAGGGAACAGGTTGCAGAAGCTTTATTAGGACTCCTTCCAAGGACAACCAGATGTGAAGATGAAAACGGGTCTTTTCCAAAAAGTTCCAGGTGGTGGTGGCAGCTGCTGTAGGGGTGACCTAAGTCATGCCTTGTGGTTTCCTAAAAGGCAGGATGAGTAGCAGTGCTGGTCGACTGGCTAGTTTTGGCATTGGACCCAGTTGGCTCACATCGACCCATCCCTCGGTCACAGGAGCCTTGTGCATGGCCCTGGTGGCTATGAGGGGTTATAAGGGAAGCAGGGGGCAGAGGGTGGAGGAGGCGCCTAAGCTCAGCCAACTCACCGAGCCAGGGCCTCCAGAACTGGGCCAGACTTCCTGCCCAGGGCTTTCCCCATTCCCTGGATCCCACCAAGCAGGAGGTAGGTTTAGAGATTCTGGGCTCAGGAGCACTGAAGATGCTCAGCTTTGGAGCCTGCCTGCTGACCCCAACTCTGCCCATCCACCCTCTTTCCCTGTGACCCGTCCTGGTGTGCAAAGGGGCCCTGAGAGCTCCCTTTTTGCCACCACCCACCCCCACCCCCACCAGCAGCAGCAGCACTACCTGTCCAATGCAGGACTGCAGGTGAGCCAGCAGGAGGCCCAGAAAGGAAGAGGCAACACCCAGAGGTTCTCCTTCCAAGGAGATCAGGTAGCCTCACCTGAGGCACACTGAGCCATGTGGAGGAAGCAAGCCACGATTTGGGGGGGTGAGAGAGAGAGAGAGAGAATGAGAGAGATTTTCCAGACGACAAAGCTCAAAGAGGTGAGAGGAAGCAGCCGATGCGAAAGGAGCGGGGGGGGGGGTCCGAGTGCTTCCCATGGCCACTGTCAGGGGCTGGTGTAGAAGAGGCATTTGTCGCCGACCGCCTGCCCTCTGATGAGGTGCCCATGGCGGGTGAGCTCAGAAGATCCGAGGCGCCAGTCCAGCATACACCTCCCTCTGGCCTTTCCGGATGGGCTGTGGGGAGGGACACAAAAGAGGTGGAACTGGGGGCCCAGGTCACTGGGTCTCTGGCCGTGGCCCCACCTCACCTCTCTTGACCACACGGTGTGGGGCTTCCCCATCACCCCATGGCTTTGCACCAGATCTTGCTGGAATCTTTTCCTGCCCCTCCCCGCCCCCACCCCCACTCCCAGGCTTACCTCGTAGTCAGGGTTGGGGACAGGTGGAGGAGAGTCCACTTTCTGGCCTAGAACCAAGCACAGAGCCGAGCACTGGTCACCACAGCTGAGGCTCAGAAAGGGGGGGCAACAATGGGGTGCTTCCCTCCCTCCCTCCGTCCCTGCCTGCCTGTCTGCCTGCTTACACAAGGGCTCCTGACCCCACATCATCTCTCTGGCTCCGGGCCTTTTTCTCAAGGGAAGGGTGCCTGTTCCCCCCCCCCACACACACACACACACACGACCAGAAGCCCTTCTGTGGGGTGCCCTTTGTTGCTACCCCTGCCACTGCTACGATCCCTTGGCCTGGGGAAGGCTCCACCGGCACTCTCCAAACCCCCCCCCCCAGCCCGGAGTTGCCCTGGTTTCCCACTTCCTTCTGCCGGCCTCAGTCGAGAAGAGCATCTTGGAGCAGGGGCAGCTGCTGCCATGGCCTCCCCCTCCAACTGCAAAATGCCCCCCCAGGAAGAAGCCATAAGATGCCCCCCTCAAATACCATAGTGTCAAGACAGTCCCCCCACCACCACTGAATTGAATACACGAGTTTTTGACACCTCACAGGATGGGGGTGGGTGGGGGTGGACGCTTGACACAAAGCCCCTTACCCCCCCCCACTTGACAACCTCACCTAACGAAGAGGAAGTCATGAGAGGGACCCTTCTCCCTCACTGGCCAAAGGGGCCTCTGTCCTGACCGGCCCCAACTCCTCTCTTGGAGCCAAAGATAAAAGGAAACTGTTCTGCTGAGCTCCCCCCCCCCACCGCCGCTGCCGTCTAATGAGTGAGCAGTGGGGGGGGGGGCTCAGGAAGAGGGGCTTGGCCTTCCTCTGCCCAAGGACACAACCCAGGAAGACCCTCACCTTTTGGCTGCCCCTTTTTAGCCTCATGCTTGAAGATGGCCGTACGGCTCCTGCTGCAGAAGTAGACCAGGATGAGGACACCAAGGGTGACCAGCAGATCGGAGACGATGACGCCAGCCACAAGCCCAAGGCCCAGATCCACGCACCCCTCGCAGACTGCCAGGAGAGCGAGAGAGTCAAGGCACAGGCTGACGTGGGGGGGGGGACACCCGTGGGAGCTACTCTCTTGCCCAGCAACCCTGGAAGGAAGGATCCTGGTCTGGGCTACCTAGACGGGGGGGGGGCAGGGCGGAATCCAGAGGCTGAGGATCAGCACTCACCACCTCCTCAGATGCCTCAGCCTCCCTTGCCTTTCAAAAAGGTGGGGAAATCTGAGGACCAGTTCTCCCGCCCTCATACCCACCAGCACTGACCTTTGACTTTCAGGTAAATCTTGTGAGTGGCCTTCACACTATTGCAGACATAGACGACCCCTCGCTCCATCTGTTCCAGCTCCCCCTCCTCCTTGGCAGTCCAGGGAGTCTCCTGGCTGACCTCCACTTCTGACCTTTTCAACACCTGATCATCCTCGGGGCAGGTGAGGGTCACTGATGTTTCCCCGACAGCCACATCGATCCCTGAAAACAAAAGAGGAGGAGGAGGAGGAGGAGGGACAAAGGCAGAGTACCCTAGCCCTATGGGTGGGGGGGCGCGGTGGGGTGGGGGGGAATGCATTAATCTGTTAAGAGTGAGCGGCCCCTTCTTCAGAGACAGGACGGAGTCCAGCTACGTTCAGGCCATTTGCAAAGCATTGGGTGGAGGCTCAACTGCCGGACAGCTCAGTGGTCTAGATCTCTGGCTGTGGAGCCAGAGGGTGGGGGTTTGATTCCCCCCCCCAGGCGGCCTTCCTAACAGGGGGCTCGATGATCCATAGGGTCCCTTCCAGGTCAGCAGCTCTAAGGTGTTGATGATTCACCCTCCTTAAGGGAAGCTAGATCTAGGGAAATGTACACCCCCCCCTGCGGACCAGTCCCTCATCCCAGCCTACCAAAAGCCCCTCCTTCCCACTCCACAGATCCTGGGGTCCATCATCCCACACCCAGCCTAAGGGCAGAAGCTCCCTGGAGAAGCCACCTATGGCCCTGGCAGAGGCATCTCTCTTACCTTCTCTTGTTCCTCTGGCTGGGCAAGCTGCAAAGAGAAAAGACGGGTGGCGTGAAGGAGGGTTGGGCACCCTGGCGCTGCCTCCGACCCTCGCTGGGCTGCTGAGCCTCAAAGATCCGCCAATGTGGGCAACGCTGCTTCCACTCCCGGCTGCCACGGTCTGTTTGGAGGACTGGAACTGCCTCTGGACTGGAAGCGTACCTCGCTCCGTTCTTGGAGATTCCCCTTTCGCCACATCTTTCCCATTTGCTTCCAGGCATGAGCGTCCCTCCTGCCTCCCCGCCCCCTGTCTCTGCTTCAGTCTGCACTCCCTGTGAACCTGGGGGCCACCGTTCCTAGGTGCCCCCCCCCACTCCGAAGGAGCTTCCCGGAGAGAGTGAAGGCTGAAAAGCCAAAGTCATGCCCCTTGGAGGCCCCTCTCCTTCCTTCCCGCAGGAAGACCACCACCTGCTTGTGTTTGCTCCACCATGGCCATGCCCGCCCCCCATGCAAAATGCTCTATTATGCCACCTGCAGGAAAACCCCAATTGTAGCCACTTCAGCACAAATAACTATTGTTCAATGGCTTGGAGGTCCACCTCAAGATGGACCAAAGACGGCGCCACTTCTCACAGCATGCCGTTGATTCCCCCAAGAATGGCCCCTGGCCTCGAGAGAGGAGGACGCGCAACAGGAAGGGGGCAAGAGCCTGTGAGCTCTGCGGAGTCCCTCTCCCCACTCCCAGTACGAAAGCGTGCTTCGGAGTCCTCTTTCCAACACCCCAACCGCATCAGAGGCTGGCTCCTGCCCTGAAAACCTCCAAGAGCACTGCTGGCATGCTGGAGGTGGATCAGGCCCCAAGCCGGTCTAGTCCAGCCTTCCACTCCTTCTGCAGCCCAGCGGGGGCCTGTGGGGAGCCTGTCCATGGGGCAGACAGGCCAGGAGCCCATCTCCACCCTCTCTCTTATGTTCCCCAACGACAGATATACAGATGGAGGAGACGTGTTACAAACCCACCCCCATTCTAGGAGCCACCCTCAGCCTTCCTGACGAATGGCCGTTGGTGGCCCAGACCTCCATGAATTGATTTCGGCCCCTTTTAGGGCAGCCAGGGGTGTGTGTGTGTGTGCACGCGTGCACATGTGTGTGTGTGTGTGAGAGAGAAAGTGAGAGGCCTCCTATGACCTGGCAGGGCTCTTCCACGCACACCCTGATGTCCGGACGTTCCCCTTTGCACTCAGCTTTACTTACAGAAACAGAAGAGAAGGGCCACCAGGGCACCAGAGCGGGAGCCCGCGTGCATCTTTCCGCCTTCTGGTCTCGCCTCTGGTCCTCGTGCTTGGCCGTTGTTCTCCTGTTCTGTTCCAGCTTGAAAAGAGGCAGGAGTGGGGAGAAAGGAACCCAGTGGGGTGTCCCCTAACGACTGAGCCCAGGGAGGACGCCCTGTGAGCCGAGCGAGACAAACACGCAGTCTTTCCAGTACAACAGCCTCAGTCAGAGCGACCCAAAGTGTCTGTGGTGGCACAAAAGCGGGGCCAGGAAGTGCAGGTCTGTGAGGGTGGCTGCAGGCACACACGCACACACGCGCATGCGTGCGCAAGACGATCAAAAGGCTGAGCCCTCGGTGAGGCCCCTGGGCCGAGACTGAAGTGGAAAGGCAGACCTGGCCCCGGCAGGAGGGGCCACTGCTGACCGCCCACCACCCACCGCCCGCCCGTGGACTCACCCCACCAAGGCAAAGAGCTGACGGGACTCCCCAAGGCAGATGCCGGCTGGTCGCGGGCATGTCTGTGCTGCGGAGACCACCTTGAGCTCTGCCAGTTCAGCTCAGCTGAGCTCAGCAGCCGGAAAACTGCAGGCAGCTTTCGAACCCCAGTTCGTAGATGAAGGGCCACTGAGATTAAGGGCCAAAGGGGGGGGCAGAAGGAACTTGGAGGAGGCTGGCGGGAACCTGTCCCTACGCCCAAGGTCTCCCCCAGAGCCCTGGGCCTGGGCCCGTGCCAGGAGGCCCTGTCTCTTGTGGCACACGTGGCTTGAGTCCCAGCCGAGGTAGCCACTCCTGGGATGAGGGGTGTGTGTGTGTGTGTGTGTGTGTGTGTGTGAGAGAGAGAGAGAGAGAGAGAGAGAGAGAGAGACTTCCCACCTGCAATGGGTTTGGGCACTCTGCCCTGTGGTGCTTCTGGAGTCCTCCTGGCCCCCAGGTTTGCTCAGCTGCTGGAGAGAGAGGAGGAGGCAAGGAAAGGGGATTCAGCCAGGGAAGAGAAGTGGCTCCCCCAGGTGAAGGACAATGGATCGGGGCCATGGCTGCAGCTGGTCTCCTGCTCCACCGGCCAGCTCCTCCTCAGAGGCCCATGGACAGCTCTTGGATGCAGGGGACAGTGGCCTGATCCGGCTGCAGGGCTTTTCCCAGGCACACCTATCCTGCCTGTCAAGACAACAGAAGCCTAAATCAGTACAGTGGGGTCTCTACTTAAGAACTTAATCCGTATTGGAAGGTGGTTCTCAAGTTGAAAAGTTCTTATGTTGAATCTGCATTTCCCATAGGAATGCATTGAAAACCATTTAATCCGTATCTGCTTTTTTCCGTCCATAGAAACTACAGTACAAAGGAATAAGGAGCTGCGCTGCCTTATTCAACGCATGCCCTTGGCAGCCCCCAGAATCCTGCAGCCTTCCCTCCAGGAGGAAGTCTTCTGTGAGATGTACCAAATTTTGCAACTGCCTTCCTGGTAATTTAAAATGCCCCCCCCGCTTCTTGGCCTTGGTTGGGGGCGCTAAGAGACCACCTCTCTTGCCCCGGCCGCTGGGATAGGAATGTGCCTCACCCGAGGGTCGGCATAGGATCACGGGCCGTCCCCTCTTGCTTTGAGATGCCACCCAAGCTGCACCTCGTTCCGACTGGCCGCGGCCCTCTCGGCGCCGCTCCGAAGGGCGCCAGCACGAAGTCCTGGACTGGATCCATATGAGAACGGCCTGAGTCCCCGCACACACCCCCACCCACTGGTGTTCATCTGCCCCACGCATCTGAGATCGAGAGGGGCAGCCCGAAGAGGGACCTCTCTGGGGAGCCCCGCTCGCCTCCCCCGGGAAAAAGAGGGCGGCGGCGGCGGCCGGGTCAGGAGAGGCGCTTCCAGCCTTCCCTGCTTTGGC